CTATCTATCTATCTATCTATCTATCTATCTATCTATCTATCTATCTACCGTGTTTCTCATATAATAAGGCCAGGTCTTATTTTTTTTTGAGCCCCGAAAAAATGGCTAGGCTGTCTTTTCGGGGGTGACTTAATTTCCCCCCCCTTGCATCTTCGGGAGGGCGGCGACGGCTTGGATGTTGACCTCGGCGTTGGTGGGGCACTTCGTATCGGGGTCAACGCAGGCAGCACCATATCCGGGTGTGCAACAAAAGTACTTCCTAACGGCAAGCCCCCCCACCATTCCCCCCCATTTCACATGTTTTAATATAGGCCTTAATTTGGGAGGAGGGGCTTAATTTCATTTCATGCCTATAAAACATGCTGGGACTTACTATTGGGGGAGAACGTATTGTTGGAGAAACAGGGTATCTATCTATTATCTATCTATCCAGACAGAGAGACAGACAGATAGACATTTAACTGAACCCGTTTTAAATTATTATAAGAAAATGCCTTTTATAAATAAAAATGATATCTCCTAAGCCCGTGGTGGCAAACCTATGGCACGCGTGCCACAGGTGGCACACAGAGCCATTTGTGCCAGCAAATGAGCCCCAGCCAAACTTAACCTCATTGCGCATGTGCATGCCTCCCAGCTGATTTTCGGCCTGTTTGAGGCCTTTTTTGGCATCCCAGAGGCTCGGGGAAGCCTCTGCAGCCTTTGGAGACCGAAAAACAGGCCCGTTTCATCACTTCTGGTATTTCCAGAAATACACGAAGTGATGAAATGGGCCCATTTTTCAGCCTCCAAAAGGCCTCAAATGGACCAAAAATCAGCTGGGAGGCACATGTATGTCCAGTGCAGGTAAGGGCAGGGGGGTTGCACATGCATGCGCAGGGGGAGGCCCCCCATGTGCATTGTCTTCTGGGCGCGCACAAGCGTGCATGCAATTTTCGGCACAGAAGCCCCAAAAGGTTAGCCACCACTGTCCTAAGCTAATCCATTTTGTGTGTTTCCTAGAAGCTTGTTAAACCGTGACAAACTTTTTAATTTCAATGTCTTATTTTTCTTTTATGAAGAGTCTTACAGATAATACTGTATATGTGAAGCAGGTTTCACAATTTACCTGGAATGCCACTTTTCATTCTTCTTTTCTGCCTATTTAAAATTAATGACATCTTATAAATGTAGCTAACTTTTTGTGAATTTGCTTTTTGCCATAGCTTGGCTTCGGATCTTTCCTAGGGATTATTGGGCTCCATCTGGTAGAGAATCGAAAGCAAATGGTAAGCAAATAATCAACAGTGTGATTTAAAAATCAGAACATTGATCTGGTACTCTGTTTTTCATTCTGTTTCTCTCAACATATCTCTGAAATTTTATAAGCATTCAATCTGTAGTTAATTTGTGTAATATATGCTGTGGTAACAGTATGACTAGTAAATTATAAAATGGATAATGAAAGAAAGACTAAAATGAAGCACTCAAGATGAACACTACTCATTAAAATCTTCTCTAGAGCTTAATTTTATTATTGTCTATTTTGTTCATGTTTTCTTTTGTTCAGCCAAATACAGCATGTTCTGATTTACAATTCATCCAACACTTTTCTTCTTATTTGATACCAGAATCTAATGTGAAAAAGTACTCTGCCCCTGAGCTATTAATAATCTTATCTGGAAGCCATTTATAAACAATTTAACTGTCCTGCCTAGGCGTTTAGTTGTCTTCATTATGAGGCATGATTTCATATGTCTGATTTCTTTTTAAAACTCAGTTTAAGCCCTTTTATTTTGTGGTAAGGAGATCCATTTGTTTTTGTTTTGTTTTTGTTTTGTTTTTTTACTGGTAGAGAAAAGAATTCTTTTATTTTTATTATTTTTATTTCATTTTTTTACATTTCTAGGTGTGTTTTGTTTACAGTTTAGTCTACAGTCTACAGTTTAGTTTATAATATAAAATACAAAAGCAAACACTAGGAAAAATAAGGGAGGGAAAGGGGAAAGGAGAAGTGCAGAACAGAAGGGAAAAAAGAAAAAAGGCATTGACTTCCAACTTCCTCTGGTGCAGTAGAATAAAACAGTAACATCAAACCTCAACTTTTTACTTTTACATAACTTAACCATTTCTATAACAACAAATCTATCCAATCAGTAAAACCGAAAATCAAAGTTTCATTTTTTCCACCTCAAGCACAAAGTCCAGAAGTGGTTTCCAAGTACTGTAGGTAAAATCCATTTGTTAACATCCAGAGTCATTGAGAGCGGGATATTATGCACATTTAATACATTGCAATAATGCTAATGCTGTTTCTTTCTTCTAGCTTCTTCTCACTAGATTCCATTTGTATAATAATCCAGGGTTCTAGAACTATGAGGAAGAGTTAGGGTTAGGGTTCTACTACCTTTGTTGCCTAAATTTAATTGTTACTGAGATTGGTGTTTTATACGCATTATATTATATAATTATTTCCTAGAATATTTGTATGCTCTGAAAGTGCAGAGCATCTTTCAAAGTCATTGTTGTGAAAGTTAATTCAATATGTGACGGGAAAGGGAGGGATATGGTTTTTTATAAGTAGCAACATGTTAAATGGTCTAACTCTTGAGATAGTCCTAGTTCAGCTTGAGAACAGAACCTGCTAGACTGATAATCCAATTAGACTAGGAAAAAGGTCTGCATAATAGCATGTGCCACTTGCTGTAAGACTAAGTGCAAATTTCACAGTTAAAAGTAGACATTAATTTCCTTCCAAAATCCTTTCCTTTCCTTTTTTTTTGCTTTAATTTTGTAACGGGTGCAATACAATCAGACATGCCAGGTACTGTTATTATAATAAATCTCAATAAAAGTAGTATTAGCCTTCCTGTGGAGTTGATTTCTTGGTCTGATCTAACCAGTGGAGCTGACTGCCAATCATCATTACTCTGTTTAACCTACCTCATTAAGTTTATATGATAATACAATAAGAAGGCAGTCACCATGTAGTCCCTTGTGCTACTAGAATAAGGCAAACCATATATTAATGTGGGACATACAATTTACCTCAAAAAAATTAAGAGGAGCTGAAGGAAATGTGTATGGAGGAGGGCAGCTGAAAAAAATGAAAGGAATTCTTATCAGATTTGTGGATAACAGGACAAGACATGCAATATTATAAAAGACAGAAACACAATTCAGGATTTTCATGATCTCAATGGATTATAGATTAAGAGACAGAACCATTGTGTTGGCAAAACACTGAATCCTACAAAAACAGTTCACTCCTGAGCCAGGAAGCATAATTTCAGGTATTATTCAGGCAAAAAGGAAACGGATGCATAGTAGGTACAAATCAGGTACAACTGACCTGAGCAACAAGCACTGATTTCATCTATGTTTAGCATGCTGGGCTTTCCCCACAAGATCAGGGATTTGTGTTACAGATAGGCCGGTTATAAATTCAGTCTACAGAGGGCTAATGGCACAGGTGTCATGCTTCAGCCTGTACATTATCCTTCTAAGTTTGAAATTCTACATTGTAGAATATGGCAATGTGAAAATGTGTTGACTTCAATTCCCAGAATTCCGTGGCCAGCATAGCTGGCTAGAGAATTCTGGGAGTTGAAGTCCATACATCTTCAAGCTGCCAAGGATGAGGAACACTGTTAAGAATTGTGAGAAATAGCAGAACTCCTATTTTTTTGACAATTCAAGATACTTTGTTTATCAATCATCCAGTTTAGCATTTTTCCAATATGGGAAACTGGATTCAGAAATTAGTCACAGAAATTAGCTCTGTTTTTTCAGGATAGCTCAAATAGGAGAGTAAATTAATAGTTTCCTCCTGATCTTTGAATTTTATAGGGAAGAAGTATTCCAAATGATTTAGTCTTAAGAGTACCTCAATCACCCTTTGAATCCCAAACACAGTTATTTAATTATGGTAAATGAGTAGATTTGACTTTTCTTTGATCCTTCTTTTAACAACCATTTAAGGAGATTCTCTTTCAATGCCATTTTTAGATATATTCAAATATCTTCCAGATATTTATTAGAATTCACTTGAATAATAACTTTTGTCACCTTGAACAGGATGCTTTGAGGTCTTGCAGGAAAAAATAATTAAAAATATTCTCCACAAGAGGTGAGCTGCAGCTAGGTAATTGCAAAGCTGTTTCTCATTAGAAATCCATTGTAATCATTGTAAGTGCTGCAGCTCAAATAGATATAAATGAATAATGAACATCCAGTACCTGAGATATAATCCTGTGCTGTAATGAGACATTTCTTGAGTGAAGTTTCAATTACAACCATGTTCTTATTGTGGCACCAACCTTTGGAGAGAATAGGGCATAAATTGTATGTCTTGGTGCCTATTGCAATGATAAGCTGCCTTAATAGCTGCAGAGGGGCATCCAGGCAAGACACTATGTATTTGATTTTTTGCTGTATATATGGAGGTGGCATTGCAGTACCCTTCGTTCCCAGAAAGACAGGGAAAAATATTACAGTACATTAAACAATTATCATGAGTCTAACTGCCACTTGTAAACAGTCTGATAATGGTAGCAGCTCAAGCAGAAGGCAGGGAACTCCAGTTTACAAATATCCTTCAATGTTTGGTTATTATTTGTTTATTTGTTTGTTTCTACTTCTCAACCCCTGGGGACTCTTTGATAACAATACTGTTTCCCTACATAAAGTCTAGTTATGCAAACATTGAGAGTCTTTCTACAAATAAATCGAGGCATTATCTGGATAGACTAACCCGAGTTTGAGGGTTATGATACAAAACCTTTTATAAGCAGAATGCTTCATTCAATATTATTAAATGAAGCATCTTTAGGAAACACTTTTTCCTTTAGGAAGATTTTTTTAGGAATCTTTAGGGGGGGAAAATAAAGCATATCACTTCACAACCATTATTTCAGATCACATGCATTTTAATTAAACAAATGGCACACCCCCTTCAGCAAATCTACTCCGGTTACTGTGCTTAGTGCAGTATTCTCCATACAGTCACATTTTTACATAGGGAAGCATTAAAATGATCTCCTATCTGTAGGATGGAGTGCTAGGTAGATACCACATAATCATATCTAAACTACTTTGTTTTGATTCTTTGCCAGGTGTCTGTGGAGATTCTCAGTCATCCAGGTCATGGTTGTCACAAAGGTGCTTTTCTCAAGAGGCAATTGGACTTCATTTTTTATTTAATTTGTCAATTGCTTACAATATAATAGATATAATAATAAATATAAGTATAAATAGACTAAATAATAAATAAATAGACTTTCTGATTGCCTCTTTGCCATGTGCAAGCAGGCGCTTGGTGGATGCGGGAAACTATTATAGGTTGGTTAAGCCTACTTCTATGGTTAGGTTCCATCCTATTTTCCTTTTATAGACTAAGTAATTAATGCTGAAAAAAATCATTTATCAGTTTTAACCAGTGAATTTCTTTCATAGAATAGAATAGAATAGAATAGAATAGAATAGAATAGAATAGAATAGAATAGGAGTTGAAACAGTTATGTCCAGGATGTGAGGGGTCTGTAAATATTTTCACAGCCCTCTTTTTGACTCGTGCAGTATACAGGTCCTCAAATGGAAGGCAGATTGATAGTAATTGTTTTTTCTGCAGTCCTAATTACTCTCTGAAGTCTGTGTCTGTCTTGTTGGGTTGCAGAACCAAACCAGACAGTTACAGAGGTGCAGATGACAGACTCAATAATTCCTCTATAGAACTGGATCAGCAGCTCCTTGGGCAATCTGAGCTTTCTGAGTTGGCGCAGAAAGAACATTCTTTGTTGTGCTTTTTTGATGATGTTTTTGATGTTTGGTGTCCATTTTAGGTCTTGTGATATGATAGAACCTAGAAATTAGTGTCCATTTTATGCACAGTAAGATCAACATTTATTGCCTGCCATGTATCTGTCTGATATCTAAACTGTCAATAGGCTTATTCAACAAGACTGTATTTTATGACATAAAGGAACATTTTTACATGTGTTTCACAGCACAGCACATGTGTTCGATGTTTATAGCATTGTGTGAGCTATAAACATTCATAATTTCCCTGATTTTTCTTGTCATCTATTCCATATAAGTTGAATGGCCAAACATATTTTAAAAAGTACCGATGCATTTTCTAATTCTTCACAACTGACTTCCAGTGGCGGATTAAGGCTCACTGGTGCTCTAAGCACTGACAAATCTTGGTGCCCCCCACCTTTGCACATACAAGATTTTTTACAAATCTCCATTGGTTTTTTTCTTTCTTTCTCAACTTTGTGGTGCCCACTTTGGGCCTGGTGCCCTAAGCACATGCTTTGTCTGCTTAATGATTAATACACCACTGCTGACTTCCAGTGCAAGCATGAAGCACTTAATTTAAATCAACATTTCTCTTTGTAGCTGATAGCATCCATCGTGTTCATCAGCTTTGGAGTGGTAGCAGCTTTTTGTTGTGCAATCGTTGATGGTGTGTTTGCAGCGCGTCACATAGTAAGTATGTGCTTTTGTGTATTCTTCCCCCTTGTTAACATTAAACTCTTTATGTGCCCTGTGTAACCAATAACTTCCTTCATGCTGGGATGCAAATCTAGACATTTAGTCAATTAGACCTTCATAGGGGCTATTTATAAGAAATCTGCAGTTTTATCCTTCCTATTTAGATTTACTTAAAAATAGTGACACTAAGCTGATTGGGGCTTATTCCCAAGCAGTGGCACCTAATTGATAGGACATTTGACTGCATTGCTACATTGATATAAAAATATAAAGCTGTTTTTTTTTCTCGTGTAAACAAGGAATGTCAGTTTATTATAGTGTGTAACTTCTGAACATTTTGCATGATGAATTTAAACCACTAAATTGTCCTTGGCAAAAGTGGAAGCCTAAGCGGGAGGTTCTGCAGAACAAAATAAGTCAATATAACAGGTACAACAATGCGATTGAAGCTCTGCCTGTTTTTCAAGTGGGTTGGATATGAAAAAAAGGAACTTTGATCACTCCCACCCGCTGCCATCTTGACTTATTTATTTATTTTGCTATACTCTGTGGTTACCTCCAAGCCTAAAGCAAACAGTGTGGATCAGAACCTCAGTTCAAAAATAACCAATGGGACAAGTAGGGGGAAATGAAAGGCAGCTGATGAAAAATGCTGTTTAAGAACTCCTTCAAAGTGAGACATTTGTTGGCTCTGCATGAAGAGAAACAATGTGAGGAGTTTCTTAATGATTCATTAAAATGGAGCCCATGTCCATTGAGACTGAAGGATAATTGGCCCAGTAAGGCAGATATAGACTTTTGATTCTGAACACTTAGGCTATCTCTTTAAGTATTAAATGTGATTTTCAAATATTAAAGGCATCTAAAACATATTTCCTTTGCTGATCCAACAAGACAAACATGATTCCCTTGCTTTTGCTTGTTTGCCACTCAGCCTTCACCCAATACTCTCCAGATAAATTGCACCCATCTGCAACCATGGTTGTCTTGCTGGAACGCATTGCACCAGATGCCTCTCTCGGCAATCCTTGCTTGAGTTTGTATAAGCTACCTAGCCTACCTATGTGTAGCCTTGATAATGATTTGATTTGGTTGATCAATGATTTAAAACAGATTATACAATCAATGGGAGCAAATGGAATCATCTCATTTGGAGTTGCTCTTCATACCATTAAAAAAAGTCTCCATTAGGATCATGAAAACCTTAGGATGTCACTTTCCACATTTGTCTTGGATTGTAATAGGAATGGGTGGTTAAGATTCCAGAGAAACTGCTTAGATATTGTGCAGTTTAGAGATAAACAAAACAAAGCTATATGTTTTCTGTCCCTATAGTCCCACTTGTATACCTTTATGAAAAGGGAACCTCATCACACATGCATGAAATGAACAGTTGGAGCTGGAAGTAAAAAGAGCTGCTTATACCATGACAACACTGATTTTCTTACAGTGGATCTCTAGTTCCTTTGTTTTACACTACAAAGAGAAAAGTTTTTACACTATATGAGGAAAGTTCTACAATTTTTTTTGAAAAATATAAAATAACATGATGGCATAATGCAAGGGGTTTCAGACTTTTCCAGAGTATGGAACTTTTCTCCTCATGACCCCTCCCCCAAAATCTGAGGGAAGTGATGATTTTTGGATTTTTGAATAAGAGCAGAATATGGGGAGAAGAAAATCATAATTTTGGAGGGGAGAAATGGCCTTAAACATATTTACAACTGCAGTGAAGAAGATTGGAAGTTGATCCTTTATTTTTTTTCTGTTTTCTGTTTCCTTTCCCCTTGTTTATTGCTTTAACACTTTATTTCCCCTTTTTAATGTTGGCTTGTATTTATCTTTTTAAATAAAAATTATTTTTAAAAATCCCCCCCCCAGAATGTCTGATCAAGAGGGTTGGACTTTTAAATGCCAGCTGACATTCTGCTGTGCCTCAGTGATTAAGGAAAAAAATTCTGTGCAAAGAACTAAAAGAGAAAAATTATCTGTTCCTTGAAGAGAGTTTTTTGTTTTTCATCTTAGTCATTTATGGACAGTTTTTCTTTAATCCTTTATAGATTTTTATTTCCTCTTGTGGAGAGTTTTCCATTAGTGACTAAGGGAGAAAAGCCCTCCATCATTTTCAGATAATTTTTCCCCCTTTTAGTCCTGCAGATCAAATCTTTCAAATCCTCACTAAAGCATAGGAGTCCATAGCACCCAATTTTTTTAAAAAAAAAACCTCATATAATGGATTGCTAAAATGTCAAATGAACCATGAACACCTTTAACCTTGGGGACAGATATAACTTGGCACTTTACTGTGATTTCTTTAGCAAGAGCTGGAATGAAAAATGCCAGTACTATCCATTTTTGCCAGTATATCTCTATTTTAAACACGGAAAAATATGTTTTCCTTGATTTCTTAAAAGAACATCAGGAATAATATAAGTTTAGTATTTTTTCATCTCAGTGATAGGTGCTTTTGTTTTATTTTGTTTTTTTAAAGATGATGAATTAGAAGAAAATCCTTTCTATGCTCAAAGATGACATAGCTTGATAAATAAATAGTAGAAAGGAAATAACTGCATCATGTATCTTTATCTATACCTATGTCTATACAATGATTTGTCCAGTTTAGAAGAAAAACACTTCACTTTAAAAAGCACTTAAAAATTAGAAATGAATGTAAAGGTGCTTGGTTTAATGTATTCCTGTTTTATTTCAGAATTATAGTACTTGCAATTTGTTTTTATTTCCATGAAGCATCAAATACACAGTATTTGAAACCACCATTCACCTTTAAAAACAACTGAAATGCCTGAATCAGATAAAATAAATACAGCTGAAAGTAGCATATAATGATATTAGTGCAGATAAAAAGGAAAATTACAGGAACCTATTATACATGAATTATGTTGTTTACACATATATTGTTACATAGCAGCGACACTGGTCCTTACATGCTGCAAACAGATACCCTTGCAGAACAAACAAAACAAAACAATTTCTCTTCTGCACCCAGCATTGCCCTCCTTAAACTTTCAAGTGATACTTCTTCAATAATTGAGAAATGCACAATTGGGTAGCCAATGAAATGGAGAACAGCTCATATAGACCTATACTGTGTGTTTATTATGCCATTGGAAACATATATGGAAAACTTGGCTGCAGAAGAGAGAGAGAGAGAGAGAGAGGCAGAATACAAGTAAAGGTAATATGAACTTCCAAGAGAAACTAAAGAGGGTAAACTAAGCCAGAAGGGAAGGCATAGTAGCTTGAATGGATGAGAATTTGAGTAGAGAACGATTGTATTGCAATATTTAAACAGTCTGTTATTTTATAAATGAATCAATAGCACAGAAGTGTTTCATTGTAAATTTTATACTAGAATAAATATGCATAAATTTTTAATAAATAATAAAGGCAAGGAATAAACCAAGTGGGATTCTGGTTGAATTGCTTTATTATAGGCTTTTATTCAAACAGGGTCAAGGAATAAGGGATATAAGGACATAATTCTTTCCAAAACCTAAAGGCTTATCTGCACCGGCTGATTCCTCCTTTGCCAAAACAGAACAACAACCACTTCCGAAAAGCAGAAAGGGACATTGTTTCCTTTAATCCCCAACCCATCATCAGAGTTACCTCAGGATATACTTTTCTGCTCCACTTTCCAAACACACCTTTCCACGTTATGTCATGTTCCTGTCCATTTTACAAACACTTTACAAACATAGAAATACACCTTCAAACTGATTCAATGCTTAGTGTAGTCTGTTATAGAGCTACTTTCCCCAGGGAATAGCACAAAGATTATAACTCTTACTTTGTAAATGGAAGGTTGCTCATTTGGAGGAACCTGGTAGGGAAAAAAAGCACTGGGAAAAATAGGAATCTCAGGAAAAGAAAAAAAAAGTTTCTGCTACATCCTGAACCAGAACCTTCTGTATGCACAATAAATTTTACAGATGGGTTATTATAGACCTCAGTATAAGAAATGATATTCTTATAGTGAGGTTCAGTAAGAAGTGATATTTAAAAAACTGCATATATATGTATATTGATGCTTTGACTTTATATGTGTAAATCAGTGGTGGGATTCAAAAAATTTTACTACTGGTTCTGTGGGCCTTACCTGTCCTTTATTTCCTGCTTTTTCAACCTCAGCTGCTTTGCGCGGCACGGCTGCGATTGAAAAAGTAGGAAAAAAGTGCCTTTTCAAATGCTGCGTACCCGTGCGCAACGTTGCTAAGCTGTCCGGGCAGCACAGCTTACAACGTTTTACACACATGCACAGCATGCATCAGATGGGCAAACCCGTAGTTACACCGGTTGAATGCCACCCCTGGATTTAATGTAAACATATGGAAGACTGGGTGGGTGGAAATCAAAAGGAAGACTGAAAAAATTATGATCGGGCAAGACATGAGTAGCAAAAAGCAATGTATAAATCAGTGTATTTTCTCTTCCCCTCAGATTGTGTAGGGCCTGAGACAGACTCTTTGCCTCCTCACTTTGGAAATGAATTTGGCTTAGGTCATCTTCTTTACTTTCTACGGGTATTAGTATAAATTAGATTTGGTTAGAGCTCTTGCAGTTATCCCTGCCTTCTGTTTCTTCTGCCTTCTATTTCATATTCCTTTTGTGTAAAGATGCGTATCCCCAAAAGAATCAGTATGTAGGTATGCAATTATAGGCCACCATTCATCAATGATCTCAAATAAGGACGTACAACCTCTCTATTTCTGCTACTACAGAAAAAAACCATGTGATCTGCTGAATCAGGGGTTAGTAGCTGAGGTTATCATATTTCAACATTAAAAAAAAAACATTTGAGAGGCGTTCGTTTATATAAGGCACTGCAATCCACACAAAGTTTACTTACTGTTGTTTGCCCGCTGCAGTCGACCTGGGAAGGGTTCATTAGTTGTTGTAGTTGCTTCTCCCAGGCCTGAATCACAGAGGTGGAATTCAGCAGGTTCTGACCAGTTTTGGAGAACCGGTAGTGG